ATATAATTATATATAAAATTATGCATAATTATGTATGAGCAATTTTTTTTACATTTTTCCAAACTTGTTTTTTTCTAAAACAATGCGAAAATTATCTCTATAATTATTTTTTATGTTTTCACATTACTATTATTATTTCTATTACACTAAAAAGTAATTTTACAAAAAAAGAAGGCTGTATGAACATATACGGACATATTTCATATATAATTATACATGTTTATGAATATTTATATGTGTTTCTAAAATCTTCTATTTATGAAAAAATATTTATATGTGTATTCAAATTAATACAAGAGGCGCATACCTACATAAGACTTACATAAGTATATTCAATTGGACATGACAAAATATATGTATTTAAATAATATTGCGTCTAAATGAAAGTTAAGCGCATTAAACGGAGATTACACGATCATATAAATCTGTGAGTCGAACTCGCACAAATTTCATAGCGTTCAAAGCGGTTTCACCGCTGACGAAGGCAACAACCGATTGCTGACGTTACATTACATAAGTGCGTCCTTCGTTGTTATTAAAGCGCTGCAATTAAGTCGGCAACGCATAAACCGATTGTATCATCTGCGAAAGGCAATGAGAGCGAAGAGACAAGACGTCGCGTGCGAAGAAAAGACAGCATCGTAATAAAGTCATATATTAAAAGCGCGCTCGTGACTCGTCTGATGTATCCAAAGCGACTTGATTTTCAAATATCTGGGTTATCGCTTCGTTGCTCCTATTAAGGTCTCGCGAGATTTATCTCTGGTCTCTCGCGTTGACCCGCGCTCGTGTTGATCGATGCGTGCGTGCGTGTTCGCATTATATCGTCGATTTTTTGAAATAATATGAAATATGAATAATATGGTACGAGTGTCGCAAGTAAATCTCTTCATCTTTCATGCCGATATCAACTAGAAACGCTGTGGCAATAAAGCATTACGCGCGAGAAATGATGGCTGATTTATTTACACGTTCAGACCTGCTTGCACCCGATTTAGCTCAGGGATATTAACCCCTTTCGACGCACTGAGAAACTTGAATCTATTCCGAGAAAAATCTCAACTTTTCTACCAGCTGCTTTCGCGGTGCATACAGAATTCGGGAGCTTTCAAAAGTTTTTCGATGAATGGCTCCTCGAGGGATAGAATCTGATCGTCAAGTAGAGCTCTCGCTCGATTGATAATAATCCGAGTTTCTAGGGTCTTACTTAAGAGGGAAATAGAAGACGAAAATAGTTTACGTTAAATCCTCCTTCCTGAATCGTGGTTAATTTGATCAATTACGCGAGCCGAACTTCTCTAGAGCGACTTATGAAGATACGATGTATCTTATAATGAATGGGTCGTAGTTTACGAGGCTCGTAAATTGCCAGTAACGAGAACGTGTCTGAAATCATAAAGATACTATTGCACTCTGGATGCTATCAAACTTCGTTAAGATTGAGATTATATTCTACTTTAGATCGATTATTTTAAAAGGAAGACATCTTACATATACTCATTAATTTATCACAGAGATCGCAATGTCGACGAAGCTGCAGCTGCTGTTGATCGCGTTGCTGGTGGCGGTTCTAATAGTGGACGTGTCATCTGCTCAGGTATTATCTTTTAATAATATATATCGTATATATAATATAATTTTTTCAATCTTAAAATCGTTATACTCAAAATTATCATAGTCAAACGAGAGAAATCTACACAATCTTTTTTTTTAATTTAAAAATTAGAAGAATTAAACTACTCTTAATAAATATATGTTTGAATAGTTTTAAGCAAGTATTTACTAAATGTACTAAATAAATAAACACATATTTATTTTATAAAAATTATTAATTCGATTTAACTATCATACTACATTTTTTTTGTTGAGTAAATTTATTACTTAGTACTTTTATATTTTTTAAAGTTTATATCTTTTTAAGATCTTTAAATTTTTTCAGTGCAGTAGCGCTCAAAAGTAATTTGTAGGGAACATTTAAATCTACCTTTATGCGTTGGTGTTATAACAGAAAAATAGTTCTTCAAATGTTCGAAATATATGAAGTTTATTTTATTAAAAATAGATATCAGAATATATGATTTTTAATTTAGCAAATAATATGAGTTTCTTTTACTTTTAAATAAAAATCTTTTCATTTAAAAAACAGGAATTTTATAATTATAAATTTCATCAATATTTTTGAGCACTGTAAATTAAAGTATAATATATTTTTATTTAATTCCTTAGATTCCGTCTATTTTTGTTAGCATTTCTCTGTGTATAAACAATGTAAAATGTTATGGTTTAAAACTTTTAAAATGAATTTCATTTCGAAGAGTAAAATTTTACTCTTAAAAATTGAAAAATGAAAATTGAGCTTTCAAGACTAGCTCAATTTTCATTTTTTAAAGTAAGATTCTCATTCTAAAAAACTTGGAGAGATAAATAATGGTGATAATGCTAAATATAACACATTTACAGAAAAAAGATATGAACTTGAGTAATTCAAATATTGTGCACTACAACGAGAAATTTTCAAAGTTTTCTGTTTCTTGGAAAAGAAATGACAATGCGAAAAGTTTCTAGTACACAGTATTTTACTCGCTCATTTTCTATCGCTAAAATATTACAAAGTACGAAGCAGGGAGAAAGAAAAAGCATATTAATCGAAGTTTATATTAATCGATTCTTAGCGCAGACGAAAATATCGGCGTCGCACGACCACGACAGAGGCACCCGTGCAAGATGAGATCATGAACATGTTGGAGGCTGACGAAATAGCCGAGGAAGCAGAGGAGGCTGAGGTCATTCTTGAAAATGGCAGAAACGAGGTTGGATCGAAGCAGCAGCGTTTGCTCCAGGATCCGTGTATGGACAAGCATTGTGGCGCTGGTCGTGTTTGTAAGGTTCGTCGAGAAAACTCTCTTTTATTCATGAATCAATGATAATTACTTTATATTGCTACATATTATATATATATATA